ATGATGATGATGAACATTTAATTCCAATGAAACGCTGCCTCCCAAGGGAGTGACTGATTTCTTCCGGATACAAACTGCATCCACTAATTTAGTACTCGGTTTACTTCACAAAATGTTGTTTTTATCTTATGTTTTCCCTTACATGTTTTCCAAGAGTAAATAACCTCTTAAACGTCGAATTGACTGAGTAGATGGGAAGCAGTGAGTTCTCATTTGTTCTTTCTCCTCTTTTCTGATCTAATAGCTCACAGGAGCTGTATAATTGAAGATTTCAGCATCAGCAGTCCGACGTTGGAACACGTGTATTTTGATGTGGCAAAGAGCGAACTGCAAGGAGACAATGTCGCAGATGGCTAGAGTCAGAGCACGCTGGAAATCAAAGCATCAAGCCAGCTTCAACAAATTAGAAGTGAGAGCGTGACGCCACACTCGTTAGCAGCCTCATGTATTCGGAATACCTGCTTAGTGATGTACATTTCTGATCATCTACAAAATAAAGTTCATCCTACTTACCTTTTTAGTTTGTATGAATCACATGTAAGTAATGTTGCATAGTGATTAACCACCCTCTTATTGGATCCCAAACCAAGACATTTCCCAGGACAGCGCTTTCAAATGTCCAGTGACCTAGGACGCGCGCAAAAGTAATACTCCTGCACATCGAAAGGAATATTTATGTCGGATAGCGAATTCTCTCTATCAGATAATATGTGGGACAGTTTGAACAAAGTCGTTTAACCACTTCCATGGGATGATAGTACGACAATAACATTGACGATGGAAAGCTGAGCATTTGATCTGTTCTGTTAAACAGCCTTCGGTGAATATACCCGAGTAAACTGGTGTTGAGTACTACTGGAAATGGACCTAAGTAGCTCACAACTTGCTTCATCCGAGCTCTGCTATTTTTAACTGAGTAATAGATGCTCGTGTTTTGTTTGTGATCCTACATGAGAGCTACTCTGGAAATGGGACACAGAACGGCCGATTACGTGCTGGGAGTTGTCAATGTGTGGTCTGGTCCCCTGTCCAAGAACAAACTTCCCTTCCACGATACGAAGGATGAAATCACGGAATACATCAGATCGGAAATAGATGCCGGTGCGTCCCTTGTCGTCTTTTTCGCTTTTTTTCGCCTTCTACTATGTACTGGGAGCAGCTCCGCCTCTGACGTAAAAAACTCGGCCTAATAAATTTTTAAAAAATCTTACTAGGGTTGAAACCAGGTTTACCGTCCCCTGGTTTGTCACACACTCACGCTGTCCATTGGAAATACATTCATTGTTAGGAAAACCGTGCTGTGCAGATAACTGATTCCAGCCCAAGGAGTTCTTTGTGCTTTTTCACTTCCATTCTGACCTTAGTCTGGAGGATGATCCTTCAACCACCTGAAATCCGGCCCCGAAAGTCAGCTACAAACTTTGCTCTCTCCAAAACAAGGAGATGGAAAGGCCGCAACCTGTTTTTAAGTAACTGTGGCCCGCCATCCATGTCATTCTCATCCCTGGGCATCCTCCGAGCGCCCCATACATCTCCTGAGAACGGAAAGCTGAGCTTATACGCAACAGTCAATGTGTGACCATGGAGTCAATATAACTGCTGAAAAGGGATTAAAACACAACAGCTTCTTATCAGACCTCAGGCAAGCGCCAATGATATGAGCTGAAAAGTAGTTCTGATGGCCGTTTTGTCCGCTATGAGACTGCTATCCAAGTTCTATTTCAAAACTAGGTAGACTATCCATATTTCTGTTCACCATCACTCATTCGCAAACACCACAGTTTCGTATCCTATGGAGTTTGAATAATTTAAGTAAACTTGAATAGTTTTAAAAATCGCAAGGTTAAGCCAGAAACTTTGCCCAAATTTACTTCAAGGTTATCTAACAGCAGCTTTTATCAGCTTGAAGATGGCCGGTCTGCGCATCGAGGTTCTAGTAGGACGTTCGAATCTGACACATAAACTACTGAGGAAGTCAGTAGTCAGTCAACATTCAGAGTTGTATTCAGAGTCGGCAGAATTACCCCATTTCCTACCCTAGGGCACAGCTGTGTACACTCCTTGCAGTTAATAAAGTAAGTATGCAGGCTTTACCATGTTCCTGTATTTGCTCAGCAGAGTAAGTCTCTCTAGGCCTTTTTGCCTCTTTTACATGGACACGCACCCAGCCAGCGTGGGGTGGGTTCAAAAAAGCAAAAAGAATCCAGTAAGGTAAATGCAATGCATAGCACGTTTTATTAATAGACCTATGGAAGCTTCTGTTTCTTGGACGGAACATAATTGAAGAGGCCACGTAAGCTAGTAGTTTCAGATAGCTTGCCTTGGACAAGCTTTGTTGCCAAACTTTATCGACCGAATGTAAAGATTGTCAGCGCATAACCCAGTTTACCAACTTAGCACCTACTATTAACGTGTCGCTGAATATGAAGGCTGTCGTTGGATAACTTTGAAGTAATAGCGTGTATAATACATATTTCATATATGCTTTCATAACACTGCATCAATTCGCTTATTCTGCTTCCTTTTTCAAATGAGAAAGACGCGTAATTCTATTCACTCAGAATTTTGGCTGATCACTATTGACTGATAAATGTGTTGCTGAGCTACTGGCCTAGATTTCCGGTCGAATTTTCAGTTGGATACGATATTTCACGTGACTGGTAACTGACAAATTAGCGGTCCGAATTCCGGCAGAGTACTCCCTAGGACAACGGCAGGCTTCTGCTACAAAACCTATCTGGTAATTTGTTGAAATATTGGTAGCTCGGGTGAGTTT